TGTAGGTATTTCAAGAAAATGATTTCCATGTTAAATTTTAATTAGAAAACGTTGACTGATTATTCTTAAAAGGCAGCATATGTGTCTGGCACCTACAGGATGATACAAGATCTGTTGGTTGAAGGAAATAAAAGCACTTCAGATTTGTTTTAAAAGCATTCTCTGCTTGTGAATGTAATTCAATTATCTTTAGAATTTTCTACACTGTAGCTGTAAGGTTATAAACTCTAATAGCAAAATTCTTTCATGAGATGCCATTGGTGTAACAAACGAACAGTTTGTGATGTGGGGTTCAAACAGTGAGCAGGCAAAAAGGAAAAAAAAGCTGTGGAATGAGGAGAGTATTCAGTCAGAGCCCTGTCTATGTAGAGAGTGAAGTGAGCCATGATGCAGAGTTAAAGGCAAGTGGTGGAACACTGGCAAATGGTCGTGCAACTTGACTGAAATTAACTGAAAAAAGTCATTGCATGCTCACAAAAGCATTGCAAGAGCTTCACTGCTGTGCAAGGTCAATGTAAACCACACCTCATCTACTTTGACTTCAGGTAGGAGAATTCTGCATCACCCCATTTGCTCTTAGTGAGAATAGTCACAGTTTCCTGAAAGGTGATTAAAAAGGAATTATTTGGAAGAGGTGGAGATGAAACCTGTTGACTCGTGCTTAGAGTCCAGCTGACGAATACTTGGCTGAGCACTGGAACTGGCAAGCACTTGAGAAGTTATTATGGCTCTGCCATCTGCAAGCACGGTGCTGTGCTGACACGTTAAATACTAAAGGAATTTTTTAAAAACAAAATTGCCAGGTGTGAAGCAGTAAAAGTTTTCATTTACGATTTAAAATGTTAAATGCTATTAGCTGTAGTATCTGGAAGATTGCATTTTATTACTGGTTATGGTACTTCTTACTCATGTCATTACAAACTGTAGCTTTCAGCAGAGAAATACCCAAAGGGTTTTCTACATCCCGTCTCCTTCAGATGCATTCTTCATTTGTACAACCAGACAGGAATCCAGTATGATGAAATCTGTATGAATTTTTACCGTTCCCTCTTGCTGAACCTACTTTAATGGTCTGTTGAGGTGCTCCTTGAGCTCTCCTAATTGTGCTGTTGGTCCAAGCCTGCAGTCTGTACTTAAATGATTTCCTTGGTCCTTGCTAGGATGTGTCTCTCTTGTAATGGAGTAACTTTGGGATACATTTGTTCCCTGTCGTGGAGACCCGATCCTGGCACGAGGGAACTACTGGGCACTGAAACTTTGGAGGCAAGATTTTTGAGACTTAGTTTCTATTGCAAGTAAGATGATAAAGACAGAGACAAGCAAAACACCTCAGTTCTTCCTCTTTTCCTTGACATTACAATTTTAGTTATCCAGGAAAGAAGCAGAGAACCCTGGAGTGTTAGGATTCCGTGTAACATTGTAAACTAAGAACTGAAAGTTCTTACTGAGGTTTCACTTTACCATGAGACTGACAATTCATCATTCACAGGAATGAAAACTTTCTGATGTTCTTGCAGGGAATGTGCTGTGCATTTCATTGACCTTCTAGATTTTCACTGTTATTTATAGATAACAAAAGTCCTAGGGGGGATGGGAGAAAGGCTACAATCTTTGATTTGGAATAAAACCAGAGGGAATATAGTCAATATAATTTTTATTGACAGATATGCTTAATGGTTTATAACTACCAAAGAAATTAAGTAATTAGCTGTACTGTTTGGGTATGTTTGAAATCAAGAATATATATATATTGACAAAAAACCCACCCACCTTAGCTCAGCTCTAATTTATGCATAGGATATGCAGTGTAGGAGTAAATTATAGAATAATTCACTTAAATAATGTATTATTCTCTCCAATTAATTTGTGACTTAAATAATAAACCTGATATCTGAAATATGTATGAATACTAGTGACTGGCTGCAAACTGCACATTGCTCAGGACAGTTAGAAATCAGCCTGCAGCAGACCCAAGAGTAGGCCGAGAAATACTGAACCTATGAAAGTAATGGGACTTCCCTGCCAAAATAACATTTCCATTTTTGTATAATCCCTTGCTACCAGAGAAACTGATGAAAGTCAAACCCAGCTGGAAAGTAGCTGGGAGGTAGAAATGCCGCAGTGAACGTTTGGAACAATTTGCAGAATCCCTTAAGGCAGAGCGAGGTCAAAGCAGAGGTCTTATTCCCTCAGTACTGCTTCAACATCATAGAACACTTGCAATTATTTTGTGATCAAACCCCATTGATTGTGTTTTGGTCTCAAGCCAGACTGCAAATTGGAAGGGTCCTGTACTGCATTTTCATGTGATCCTGTCCCTCTGCTTGCTGATTTGCAGAAGAGGATATCTACTGATTTCCCCAAAGAAAACCTTATCACTGGGAGTTTTGTGGGTCCTTCACTGCACAGCAGAGATGTTGATGTATCAGAGTACCAACGAGAATGTTAACGAGGGCTGTAATGCATTGGGGAGAACTGAAGAATGTGGCTCACATTGGATAACAAGTGCTGGTCCTCTGCATCTGCTGGGATTTGGATTCGGGGAAGAGGCTCTGAACTAAGAGAGGCTGGATGCCAGGCACCTAAACTGCTCTTTTAATTAAGTCTAGTTATGAAATGATATGTACTTGGCAACAACAATATCTGCTAATTGTAACTACTTGTTCTGAATTTGTTTCTCAGTTGAATTACACAGGAACTAAATGTTCCCCTCGACATATTTTTTCCCTCCCTAATAACACAATGAATCACGAAGGATATTTTCTATGAAAGCTGCTTCTGGCCTGGCCCAGCTATCAGGAGAAATTCAGTTACATGTGGGCATGTATGGCATGGTGCTGATTGTGGCAAAAATACCAGCACTTGCTTCACTGTTAAATATTGGTGATATTCTTCTCTTTTGTTTCTTTTCTTTGAAGGTTGGAGTGCTGTGGTCTTGGGGGCAGAATTCTGCCCATAAACACTCACAGAACCTGTTGGACATTTGGGTGGTAGGGCATTTGTGCAGTAAAAGCCCCTGTATTTTTCCAGCTATCTGTGTGCTAAGAGAAATGTGCCTGGGTTAACTCTCTGTGGGACCGTGTTGAACTGACTCCTGAACTAGCAAGAAAACTGTTAATTAAGAAAAGTAAATCAATTCTATTACCTAACTGCTTGTATTTCCGAAGAGCGGGTCGGTGCTTCAGGGGATAAATGTCTTTCAGGGCTGTTCTGCAGCAGGGTATGTAACTCTCACAGGAATCACTGAGCAGCAGCAAGCACTGCCTCAGACATGGGGTGTGATGGGCATTGTGGCAGTGTGCAGTGGCTGTTCATAAGGAGCTGGAATGGTGGTAAGGAAATACAGAGTCAAATGCAGGTGGCATTGCAGACCCTGGAGGTCTGGGTCGTGGTACACATCAGGGAGGAGTTGGTCTGATTTCCTGTCTGAGTAGTCCTGCTACAGAGAATTGCTGGCAAAATTAAAAGTTAAGCAAGAAAATAAAATGTAAAAATCAGGTGGATTTATGCATGAAACAGAGGGAATTCCCCGCTGTGTGGCAAATATAAATTCCTGCCATCTAGTATTAACTTGCTCCAGTTGTACTGGAACATCCCATCCATAATGCACTAGAGTTTCTCTGCTTTAGATCAGAGTCAATAGCAGGATAAACCCAGGAGATTAATGAGTCACATGATCCAAACTGTGCCAACAACTGTGTTTTTCTGCACTTAAGCTATAAAGCACATTGAGGGGAGCCTCTGAAAACTGAAGCTCCCTAATGCCTCCATGGAGTTGCATAACTGCTGCTGTCTGTGTGTGCGTCCGTGTGGGGCACTGCAGGATCCCCTGGGATGTGAGCTGCTCTGCCTGAGAATGGCACGGGCTGAGAATGGAGCCCAAGGGTCACTTCATGAAGCCTTGCTCCATGACAATGTCATGGCACTGTGGTAGGATTTAAGAAATGGAAAAATAAAAGCCGAAAATCAGATTGAAAAATTAATTTAGGCCTTGATTCATCTCGGTACTTAAATACGTGCCTGATGTCCAGTGAGTCAAGGCTCTGCACATCTGCTTACAAACCAAGGACTCGTGAGCTGATGTTTGTGCAGACTTGACCTTGTCTTGGTGGAAGTTTCCACTAACTGCATTCACAGCTTCTAAAAGGTTGAATAATAGAAGATCATCTGGAATATCCCATGAAGTAGTATTTTTGACTTCTGTATAGTCCTGCTGTTTTCTTCTGGCTAAACCTGGATCTGCCAAGAGGGACATCTCCCATTTACATTAGGAAATCACTCCCACTGCCTTTAGCAATCATTCCTCTCATTTTTTGCCATTTATACCTTTGAATACTTCTAAGCTCTTGTTATTTTCAACAACATTTTTTTCTGGGAAAGCCATCAGCATTCAACAACAACAAAACACCATCTCACATGTTCAATAAGTTTTTTTATTATTTTTTTTAAATAAGTATACGAAAAAAGTTCGAAAAGTTCTCCTGTCTAGTATGAAATGTTTACAGTTCTCAGACTGCAATTGCATTTCAAGCAAATTCTCTTGCAAACACGATGTATCTTACAACAGCAGTGCAATTTGTTGTTTAGAGACAGATCATCTGACTACAGGCAAACTTGGAAAGCTTTCACATGTAGAGCTTTTATTTTAGCTTATTAGTGGTCTTAGATAGAGAACTCTGATTTATTGAGGCTTCTAAAGTATGCCTGGATGATGAGCATTGTATAAATAACACGGGTGTGTAGCCCTGAAAAAATCCTTCCTAATGCTTGGCTCAAGGTGTTGCAAAGAACATCAGAAACTCAAAGGCAAATAAAATAACAAATGTCTTTGTGCCAACAGAAGCTGTTTAGTTTGCTCTGCATTCAATATTAGGTATTCAGCAAGATACGTAACTGGCAGAGACAAAGCTGAATCTTATCATTAGTCCTATTGAATGAATATTTGTTAATGAATAAGCTTTTGACTTTTGACATTCTCAAAACCTCCACCTCTGCCGTGATGTGCTGGAGCCAGCTGCATTGGCTTGTGCTGCGTTGTTATACATCTCCTGGCAGAGAAAAATAGCGGCGTAACGTATTTTGTTGCTTTGCTTTGTGTGTTATGTTGACATACACGTGTATCCTATTCTTGGGAAAGCTTTCGAGCTAGGCTTACTTCCCTGTGTAAATGTATTTGATGGGTGATACTGGCTCCTCCAGGATCAAGCTGTCTGTCTCATTGAAGGTGTCACTTTCACCAGAATGATTGGCATTTTTAACTCGGTTCATCCGAGACTGCAGGCGTTCATGTTCCTTCCTCAGCTCCGAGTAGGAATGGGAGAAAGTGTGGAATATTGATGTTGCAGGAAAGGACATGATGAGAATGCCACTGAGGATGCTGCTCAGAGCCACCATCTGACCTGGGACGCTCCGTGGCACCATGTCTCCGTACCCCACGGTGGTCATGGAGATGATGGCCCACCAGTAGGAGGCAGGTATGCTCGTGAATTCCAATACCTTGCCGGATTCGTTCTCGGCAAGATAAACCAAAGGAGAAAACAGAGTGACAGCCACGCATAGGAAGAGTAGGAGCAGGCCGAATTCTCGTGTGCACCTGCGAACGGTGAGGCCCAAGGTCTGCAGGCCCAAGGAGTGCCGGGCAAGGCGCATGACATACAAGATCCTCAAGGCACGTAAAACACGTAGCACCAACCCAACCTTCTCCAAATAAGTGTTGCTGCTTGGCCTGTCATCCGTTTCACTTGAGTCATCCTCTGCCAAGATGAGGGAAACATAATAGGGTGAAATAGCCAAGAAATCAATGATGTTTAGGGGCCCTTTGAAGAACTGACACTTGCTCCTTGCTTGAATGAATCGGAGGCAGAACTCCAGAGAAAACCAAGCCACGCAGATGGTCTCTATGACGAAGATGTAATAGCACTTCTGGGAACACTCACCCTGACACACACAAAGAAAGGAGAATTAAATAAAAGAACAGTTTGCAAACCAGCATATAAAACATTAGAGGAGCAGAAATGTTTATCAATTCAAGTCACCAGTATCAGAAATAACCAAATCCCAGCTAGCAGGTAGCTGTTTTTCAATGGCATTTGGGGGGTACTAAGCACATGAAATGTCCAGGTGAGCAGACGTACTGCGTGCTTGTTTTATTTGCTTCTTCGAAATGAATGAAGCTCTTCTGTGAGTCTGAGAAAGGCTCAACTTTCCCTAAAGTCTGCACACACAGCCGTAAGTTCCACATCAGTCCAACTTCCAGCTCTCAAAAAACGTATATTTGAACTTGACTGATTTATAAGTCTGCACAAAAATTAGTGTGTCTTCAAAAGAAAGATTAATGCTTGAATGTCTGCAAACTTCTGGTACTGTTTAATGCGTGGTGCTTTTGCAAATGTTATATACTCTGGTGCAATTAAAAGTGGCTCAGTTATTCATTAAGTCATCTGGATCCTTGGCTCAGTTACATCATATACAAATCATGTTTCTTTCTATATGAACAAATACTGTATAGCTCCAATCTGGAAGAAAATAAATACCCCTCCAGTAGGCAAAACGTGCCTTGAAGACTCCTCTCCCTGTATTAAGACCCCATGCTGTGAGCAGTGCTTTCCCTGGTTTTGTTATCAGAGGAATTGCTTTTTACTTCCTCGCAATCACTTTTTTTTGTTTTTAATTTTCCTGAGCTTAAAAAATGAAATTGCTTTTGGTTGGTTGCAGTGAAATGAGGAGGAAAATGTAAATTAATTCCTGATTATTTTGGTAAACAAGAGAATACAGGAGCAGTTCCTGAGACAGTATTATCCATTCTCAGCCACATTTCACAAGCAGTATTGATTACAAGCTCTGCGGGAAACACATACCCCTATTACTAATTAAACTTGTCCCAGTGTTCAGTTACACTCTGCATTACAATGTGATGTTTTTGGAGAGCATCCCTTTGCGTTGAATTACAGCTTGGGAGAGAGCAGCTCTCTTTGTTCAGGAATTGTTTATATCCTGTAGCTCTGGCATTCTCACATGTTACGATCATAGGCTGAGACTCCTCAAAGAAAACTGTGATGCACCCTGTATGTTATTGTTATTACTGTTGTTATTTTACCTGGCTTAGCCTTAGAACAGCGTAGCTCTGTAGCACTCCTTGGGGATTTCCATCTTTCTGCACAGTAGAATGTCAAAATCATAATTTTTCACTTAAAAATAATCTCAGAGACTCAGTCCTGCTACAGTTATGTGTGGGTGATGAGGTTTAGCCCTGTTTGAAGCCATTGCCCTGACAGAGCCCGGAGTGCTGAGCTGTTCGCGTTGTTGCTGACTTGGCTTGATAAGATTGCCTGTGATCAGCAGTTGTGCTATGAGGTGCTCACTTTGGCTCAGCTCTGAGTTGCTCGTACAGTGCAGCCTGCACTCTGCACACACCCACCTCTGGTCACACTACTGAATTATTCATCGTTACCATCAAGATTTATTGTACCTTTTGTTAACTGGGCTGAATTTCCACTACATCTGCTACTTATCCACCTTTACACATCTACAGAGACACTGCTTTCAGATCATTGTGTAGCTTTCCCTATTCCTTCCTTTGAAAATGCAAGAAAAAAATTGTTTGCTGGGAATTTTAACTGTTAAGATCTAGGACTAAATCTAGATCTGAACTAAACATGCACTGTCACAGTGCGGCATGGTAAGAGCTGGTTAGGAGCTTTATTCTCTCCATCCTCAGTTATTTATGTACAGAGAAGGCAATTTGTGCAATCAGCTTCCCAAAGGCATGTTTGTTTTTCAGCAGAACATCCTTCAAAGCAAATTTTTCATGAACATTGATGTGCATTTTATTTTCCTTTTGTGCACAGTTGTGGATGTAAAGGATGATGAGTTCTCCCCTGTTAGCATGCTTTGTCTTTTTTATATGCTTTGCAAAAGACACTTGAGAAGTATATATGTAGAAGTATATGATTCAAATCATCTGTTGGTCTCTTTTTCTGCTGAGGAAACCAGGAGTTACAGTACAGTATCACAGTCTCTGACACTAATGCTGTGAATTCTTGGCTTCGTGGTTTTTTGGTTGCTTTTTTGTGTGGTTTTTTTTTTGGAAGATGGAAGAAGAAACATATGTTTGCTTCAGAAATGCCTACATGGTATGAAGGCACGCTGCAAAACCAGCCCTGTTTATTTCAGAGGGAACTGATTTATCCATGCAGTACAGTAGTTCTATATGGAAGTAACTCATTCAAGCACTGTAAATAACACAGCTGGGCTATCATCTCCCACCAGCACTATTTCACTCCATTACACAATGTAGCCATACCATTAGTTAATCTCTATACAACATCTGACACAAACGTTTCATACCTCGGCCTCTCTATTGTCAAAGTCTGGAAAGAGAGTGGAAGACCCAGGGTCTGTAGGATTTGATGAGAACAGGCTCACCGATGTCACACTGAGAGATAAATTTTATCCAGTATACTTGTATGAGAATACCTGCATTTATTACGTGTTACGTGTGAGATGGTTTATATGGAATATCCCTAACACGAGTCATTTTGAAGATTCTTGATCCTTTTGAATATCCCATTCAGAAGTAGCAAATATTGGGACAGTAAGACGGGGAGATATACTAAATACCAAGGCCAATTTCTGTTTCTCTGGTATTTTGGATAATTTCAGACCTCAGAGTGCTCTATGTTCCATTTTATTGTCCAAAAAGCTGGTGGAATAACACAGTGATTTCAGCTACCATATTCTTTCCAAAATACTTGTACTTGTGTGTCAGTGGTAGATCTCACGTTTGCAGTTGTTGCCAGCTTCCCTTCGGATGTCAACTCCTTCCAGTGAACTGTCAACTTGCAGGCCGAATATTCTGATCCATGAGGGGTGTTTTGCATAAATGGCCAATAAGGGAGTTTCTGTGGCACAACAGTTTCTATATCTCACCTCCCACTGAACAAAGCAAACGTATTTGGGAAATTCTCGTATCAGTGACTGCAAAGCAGAACAAGAACATTCCTCTGTTTCTCTAAGCATTAACCAGAGCAGAATTGTGGGCTATTATTTTCATATCAAATTTATCACCGACTTCTTTCTTCTTCTGTATCATGGTGTAGTAGAACTTACAAAAGCTCCAGACTAATGCAGCGCTGACCATGAGTGTGAGGGAAAGATGAGCTTTTATTTATAACTGGACACAAATTGTTTTGGGGTAGGATTTTTCAACACAACCTGAGATGCTTTGCACTATTGTAGCATCAGCCAGCACTGACTGTCACGGACTCTGATGGGAGATCAGTTAGAACAAAGCTAGCAGTCTGAGTATCCAACGCTTTATACATCCTGCAGATTTACTTCTGAACAATGCAAGAATTTATCAGGATTTATGGAACATGTCTCCAGCTGAAATTCTACAACGTATGGCATAAATGTAATAAAAAGAGTGCCTGGTATTGATCATTCGTATGAAAAGAACATTAGGTTCAGCAATGAAGGACACAATGATTTGTATGTAACAAGCTATATATCGAGCCTGATGGCTGAAATATTGAATGATTTCTTAGATTTATAAACCACCTCAAAGAGGTAAAGTGGCCATTTCAAAGTTCTTTAGCACCCAAGATAATAAGCAATTCATGGTTCCTTTTCATTATTGCTTTCTGCTGTATAAGGTAATGGTTCATTTTTTTTGGGCTCTATTATGTACTGGGATGTTTATAATAATACAGTGAAAATGCTCATTTTAGGATGCTTTTACTAAAGCCTCTTTAGATATGAAAGAAAAAAAAAGGCTGATAATAAAAAGTAAGAATAGTTGTGCTGAGTCTCATCAGCCCAGTGCCCATCCTGACAGCCTGAGAAACAAAAGCTTAAGCAAAATGGATCTTTGTAGAAACAGTGAGAGAAAGTACTATTACTAACGGTGGAGAACATCGGGGTTCCAGAAAGCTTTACTGCAGCCTTCATGCAGTGCCTTCTTTTGATAGGATCAGAGGTTCAGGAATTCAGCACCCTCTGATGCCAGGGTGGTGCGTGGCATTTAAATCTCAATTGCACAGGTGACTTTACAGGAGTGAAATTTATTCCCCAACTGTGAATTCAAGTTAAATAAGCTTGAGATATGTGCCACTCACTAGATAAGATAAATAATATAAATTTCCAGCCAATTGCCCTCTTAGTTGACCAGGAAACATTAGTTACAGCATAATGACATCTAGGACAGTAAATAAAACCAGATCTCAAAATTATGCAGCACTATCATATTTTACAACAGACATAAATCTCGTCTTGTGAAAATAATGTCTGTACATGCACCAATAATGGTAGCAGTGCCCAGACAGAGTGGCATTGCTCCCTTGTGGAATAAATGCCTCGTCCATCCACCTTGGTTTTCAGATGCATTGTACTTGGTTGCACTTTATAGACAAGAAAAAAGAGTTATTACTATAAACTCATTTATATATAACTAGATGAGAGCTGTTCTCATGCCCTCAGGACCTGCTCTGCACTGGCCATTTGTGACCCACTTGGTTGCAATCTGAAGCATCTTATAATTAAAATATGCTAGGGAAAACCTGTTCTGAATCATGACCTGATCACCAATTAATTTCCTACCACTGAAGATATACCTCAGTACCTTCTGAAGTGGATGTTTACCCTTTAATCCACTGCAAGGTATTTTTAAATAAATGCTGAAGCAAATACAAAGCAGTGAGAATGTATATTGTGGACACTGCACCTCACCAGTATTGGTTGGAACAGATCCATTCTTTGTAGTCCTCTGTAGAGCACCATGGAAATGAATGGCGTGATGTAGATTGTGAGGTAATGGCTGCCAGCTTACCAGCAAGCAGTATTTGGTAGGTTTCTGAACAGCAGTGTTGTGCACCCAACTGCTTATGTTGTGGCCGTGGTACCAACTTTCTGCCCTTCCCGTGGATGACTCCCAGTGGAAG